CCTTTAGTAAAAGAGTATGTAATTTGATGTTGAAATATTTTTATTCCAAAGTATCTATATTACTTGTCAAAAACATTTACTCATATATGCAGAAATCCGTTTGCAAAAAAGGCCAACAAAGTAAAATGAAGAACAACTCTCCCACACTGTAAAAGCTGTGTTTTCAATTGCTACCAGATTTTTCGTTATTACAGAGTTCTTGCACAAAATATTTGAACAAGTACAGTTATTCAGGCAGGTCCTGAAATTCACTTCCAAGTGCAAATGGCTCAAGTTACTTTGAATCTAAACTTTGGTGTTCTGTATTTCTCGTGTTTAATATCAAATTAATGCTTTTTTTCGTTTTCAACATCTATTTCATTCTGTAAATGAATCAGTAAAAACCTCGGGATCCCAGAGCTGTAATCCCGAGATTTCGGGACATGGAAAGGTGTCCGGGATCCCGGAATCCCGGTATTCTGGATCCGGGGATTGAATGCCCTAGTACATAAAACTGTGCAACAATGGCGGAATGTTTCCAACTCTGGATGAAAGACCTAGACCCATATAGAATTATATTTATGAACAAAATACAAAAGATTGTAAAAAAGTTTAGATGTTTCCAGGAAACACATTTATTTTTAATCTTCTGTGGATGTTCTGCGTTCTTATCCCTAGTGAAATTTTCCGTTGAACAATTTTTTAGACCAATTTTTTAGACCTCTAGCAACCTCTCAAAAGCCATTTCATTCAGACTTCCCTTTTAACCCTTGTTTCCACTTATTCTAAGAACACTCGGAAGAAAAACGGCCAATCAAAATTTGGCCTGGAAATGCAAAAAAAATTTGAAGGTTGTACTATATGGGCCTAAGTCTTTCATCCTGTGTTAAAATCATTCTGCCCAAAAAATGCACTATTGCACTGTATAAGTAAAAAAGATCCATTCTCACGGAAATTTACGAACTTTTACTTACTTATAAGAGCATGTCAAAACCCTCATATGGTGGCGAAGAGTTGATAAGGCGCATGCATTAACGGTTAAGTAGAGTGTGATCAGATGAACGCTTTTTAGACGACTGGAATTTAAGTGTACTCTGCCCAATCCAAAATAAAAGCGACCCCGCCATCCGCGCCAACTACGGCGTGGTCAGAATTCTAAGCATAGATTACAAGATCTTATCGCGCACATTGTGTGCAAGACTGAAGCCCACCATCAATGAACTGATTGGACCTGATCAGTGTGGATTTAGACCTGTCGAATCTGCCATGGACCAGATACTCACAGTCCTCCACATACTGGAGCAGATTTGCGAGAAGAGAATCGACACACACCATCTATTTGCCGATTTCAAAGCCGCTTTCGGCAGCACGAAAAGAAGTTGTCTCTTTGCCGGGATGTCAGAATTAGGTATCCCCGCGAAACCAATGCGCTAGAAAACTAGAGCCAAATGAATAATTTAAATACATATATAAATAATAATTTTTCTTTTTTTTTTTTGTCAGTGCTATCAATTTTTTTTTTTCAAATACACTGTGAATAAAATTTTTTAAGGTTTTGACGAGTCGTAAGTCTAGTCGAGTAGAGAAAAACTACTTTTTGAATTGACACTCCATAGGCCAACTCAGGGTTAGACAACTAGAAAAATGCTGAAAATGTTCCAACCGAACCGAACCATTTTTTTAAGTGATTAACGGTTGGATTTTAATAATATATTGCTGCCAGGGCTACCAACTATCCTTTGCTATGAGGTGCCATATTGAGGATAAAAAAGTGCCAAAATATGCCAAATAAAAAAATTAAAGTTCCAAAAAATGTGCCATTCTTTTTAATCCTTCCTATTTAGCAATAAAATAACAACCACATTTCTAAACCAAAAATGCAATGATAAAATAAGATAACCCAGTTGAATAACCTTAGAAATTAAAAAATTTTAGTAGAGAAAAGGAGTACACGCAAAGAAATTCACAAAAATGTATTGAAATGTATTTTTTTTTCAAAAGTGCCATTTCGGCACTTTGAGCCAAATTGAAAAATTAAGTGCATTTTGAAGTAAAATAGGGCCAAAAATAGCACGGTTTGAGTTGGCAGTCCTGATTGCCGTTCACACTTTTGCCAAGTATTTGGCCGAGATTTTACTCCCAACTGTTGTGTGCAAACCGATTTTGAACCGAACTGGTTTTTGAATCGAACCGCCACTTTTTTCGGGCTTCGAACCGTACCACGAACCGAACCAAAAAGCACCCCAAAAAAAAGGGTTCGATTCGGTTCAAAATGAAAATCCACTATAGCATTTTTTATGTTTTTTAATACACATCTTTGCCTAAAAACGCAACCCGTATGGTAAAACTGCAAAATATGTAACTGAGCCCCTATAAAGAATGACTGAAATGTTTTCATATGGAACAAAATACTTAATAACGCCAGCAGAAAAAAACCCCAAAATCGTGCGAATTTTAAAATAATTCTAACTTGCATTTAACATATTCACTAAAATAAGCTATAAAACTACATATTTCGATTTTTTTAGTTCTGATTAAAAAATTTTATACTTTGATGTAATTTCGTTGAAATTTGTAGATTTTTTCTAATTTTCGAAAAAAGTTTTAAATTTGATTTTAAACATTAAATCCACAAAACCAAATTAGTCAAATATCGCACTCCTATTATTTTGACCATAGGTATACTTGTACCTTGTCAAGGCCTAGTTTAAGCTCCAACCTACCGAAGATGAGGGTTTCAACATTAAGTCAACATTTTGAGTGCCAGTTCAAAATTCTGAGTATACTGATTTGTCTACTCGACTAGATTCACGACTTGTTCAAACCTGAAAAGAGTTTATGAAATGTTTTCTAATTTCGCATTGATTGCGTTGATTTTTAATAATTTTTTATTTAGGGTATTACGCATTTTCTTACACATATAAAAAAAAAAATCCCACATATGTTGTATGAAAGAAAATACGCTAAAAATTAACTTAAAACTTAAAGTTTTATTTTAAAATTTGCAATTTGGTTGGAACTTTGCAGAATTTTCATAGTTTTTCACAAAGTATAAAACTTGGATTTATATGGTTAAAAAGAAAAATAAGCATTAAATGGACAAAAGAAAAATTGCCAAAACTTGCTAAAATGTCGCACCCCTATTTATTTTTACACCAATATACATGTAGATATTTGAATTTTATATCAGTAATAAAGCCTTTTATTTATATTTTATAGATTTGTAATATTTTTTTCAATATTTGTATCCTTTAGCACAAAAAATGAACCATTTGAACCGAACCGAACTGCGGTTCAGGGATACTTATGAACAAGTTCTTTCTAAGTCGTTCGAACCACTTAACCGAACCGCACCTTTTTTTGAAGTGATTTGCAGCCCTGGGTGTGCGTCTTGATGTTGTTACACAAATGGAGGGAGCTAAAGTTTTATGCTGCCTCCGAACGGTAACTGGAGTTTATGAGAAACTTTTTCATGGGCAGAAATTCAATCAGAGGTTTGCCATTGCCTGCCAAGCCGCGGCCGCTGTTAGAAAACAACTTTTTCTAATTTAGATTTTACTCGGACCTGGGATCGAACCCAGGTCCTACGGGGTGGTAGTATGTACTTCTAATCACTCAGCCAGAATGGCCGGTTCGCTTTGGTATTTCAAAATAAAAATTATGGTTCGGTTTGAAGCCTGATCAAAGCGGGGGTTCAGCAAAAAGACGGTTCGCAGCCCTGGATAAAAGCCAAATAATTCATTTTTAATTTTATTATTAAGGTTTTCTTTATGGATAGAATAAGAATGCCTTCTTGAAGAAGAACCCTAGCGATATGCCTTTTTGTTCGATTAAATTTTATTGGGTACTTTTTTTATGCGTACATTTTTCCGGGTATACTAGAACAAGAGACGCCGCGATCTAAAAAATCTCTTGTATCTCTCTAAAGGAGTCCCTAACCCAATGTGGCCAAGATTCCCTCGGCTTCCCTAATGAATCCTAAAAGGGCCTTGGTAGACGACTTCCTAATAACAGAGGGTTCAGCCATCGAAGATTTGAAATAAATCAATATTTGTCTGGCCAAAGCCGGGCAGTGACAGAGAATATGCTCCAAAGCTTCATCAGCCTCGTGGCAGAGCCGGCATTCCGACTCTGTGATCGCACCTATTCGGTGCAAGTGGGATCGCAATTGGTTGTGACCAGTCACATACCCAGAGAGTAGCCGGATGCCATTTCTATTAGGTAGGACAATGTCATTTCTGTTAAAAGGGTAGTCGAAGAGCCTGGCCTGCCTAAGGCCCCCCACCACTCCCCAGTGCTTACTGCGTTCCGAGTGTACCCACTCAGTAATTATGGCTGTCGAAGAGGACCAACTGAGACCACAGAATGGTTCAGGTCACGAAAAGGCAGAGTACATAGTTTGCATTAAATTATGCGAAAATATTATATTGAGATGCTTCTGAAAACATGCTTAAATATCTAGTACTAAGTAATTAAAAGTCTAACTGCAATGCAATTGTTGAATACTCTAAAAAACTACAAAAAAAATTCAAAATCTTTTCAATAACAAACAACCGTTTATTAACGCCCACTGTTGTTTGCTGAACAGCTGCGTGCAGTTATATATATTCCCTTCATTGGGTAGCTTATTCCGAGACGATGCGGAGACGCTGGGTTCAGTGGACCCAACAAATGCGAAACCATGAGCAATCTCACATCTAGATGCGTTTGTTCTTCAATTTGAATACAATTATTTCAAGCGTTTTTTACGTGGGCAGTAGAGTGCAATTATGTTTTATTATTTGTTTGAATAGTGCATGTGAAGAAAGTATTTACTCAAGCATACACGAGTATTAATGCATACGCCGATTTTGTTCTGGCGTTCAGCTTCTTTAGGCGCGCAAATTCGTATGTACATATTTGCCATCGAAATGTCAATTAAATTATATACATATTTAATTTTCACAGATAAGCACTCAGATACATACATGTGTGAATATCCCTGAAATAAAACAAAATGTATCTACCTATTGATCACTTACCTTGCATGGCACCACCCCAACATAGCCAGAAAAGTGCCCATTTTGCGCTGCAAAAACGTTGTAAACATTTTGGTCGAAATTTTCCCCAACCAAATGTTTTGTACGGTTCTTTGCTGCTTACAGCGTCGGGCGCGTTAGGTTCACCCATTTGCGATACTTCAATTAAATTTGAGTCAACTGCTGATAAAATGCCACAATGTGTACCGTTTTGTATTGGTTTAGAAGCAGTGGTGGTTAATAATTTATTATTGATTGGTACACAATTGTTTAATTGAATTGAAGAAGTCTCCTCTGGAGTCATTATGTATTTGAGTTACGCTAATTGAATATACAAATGCGTGCCGAGTTTGAATTCTGCGTATAAATATCATTCATATTTTTTTGCTATTTTATTTTATTTCATATATTTAATTTAGTTTTTTGTAATTTTAATTAATTTCCTTTCATACATTGAATTTCATTTTTCAATATTTTATTTATCAGTAGTTTATTAAATTTTATTTTTATTCAATTTTATTACTTTCGATTTTTTATTTGTTACTCCAATTTGTTTCGACACTAGTTAAAAAAAAAAAACACGTAAAATATCACTTTACGTCAAAACAGTCCAATAAATTTACAGATCACACTTCCACCGCTTTCACGACCTGCTAATTGAAGTAACAAACTGCAACTGAACGAAGAAATTTCGGATGCTTCACTAGTCAACCGACCATTACTAACCAACAACGGAACTACTTACTTACCAACACGGTGGTAACATAATAAGCACAAACGTATTGGCAACTTGTGACATCTATACAGGAAGCAGGAAGCTGCTGCGCATCTGCAGCAAAAGTATTTAGTGAACATAACTTTACACCGCATTAAATAAATGGGAGTAAGAATAACAGCATCTGTTCGCATAACAGTCAATTAACAGTAGGCATTTTCGTAGAGCACATTTGATAAATAAATTTGCATAAAAAAGCCTTAAGTGTGTCACTAATTAATTAATACCCAAAATTAATGGGTTCTCTTCTGTAGAAACTGACGCCAATTGGAAATGACAAGTCTGTCTCCACCTGTTCCTCTGCTATCGCTAGCTAGTTTGGAGTTGAATACTTTCAGGGCAGGAGCGTTGTGTGTCCTTTCGTACGATCTGCAGATATTCGCTTAGCCAAGGACGAAGCTCTTTCACCGAATGCATTCAACTACCATAGCCATAAGGGCTTTGCAAGTTTGCTTGTCGGGGTTGTCCCCTAGGCCCGATGAGCTGACAAAAGTCCCATCTGTCCAGGAGCAGTCCATTGGTAGCCAAAAGAGTTTCTAGACATTCTTTGCCAGCCACATAATTTTCTGCAAATTCACCTGTGCTCTATATCCCAAATAAGCCTAGCCAAGGATTTCCTGGCCATCTCGTCACAAGCTTACCTAAACTTGCCGCATGACTGTCAAAGTAGATTTTTATTTTTATGATGATGTTGGTTGATTTTTCCGACTGGGTAGTAAGATTTTTATTATTTTTTTTTTTTAATTAATTTCCGTCATCCCTTATAAGCGAAAAATTCCACTGAAGAAAAAAAAATTTAGCAAGGGATGACGGAAGTTTGTTCCAAAATAAATCGATTGCAAATCTTATATAAAAAATAGCGTTATCAGGAGAACAAAGATTTATGATAAAGTTTCTATGTTTTGTATATATGTACATATGTACATATGTATGTATATGCTTTATACATTTTTAAAATATTATATACAAGCACTATATTTTTTCATTAAAATCACCAACTTTAATTGCGTATAAAAACCCAGATATAAAGCCAAAAGTATTTTATATTATGTTCACATATAGGCTTGCAATTACTTAATTTCCCCAAATTACTTACCGGAAATCAATATAGTTCACACTTGCTTTCATGCCCAGCGGTGCCTTCAAGAATGGAAGTGAGGCAATATAGCCATTCTCAACAATAACGTTCATGCCATACCTTTAACAATGCCCACTGATTTGCTTTGCCTTACGAAATGTTATACTGAAGCAAGAATGATAGAATACGGCGCAACCTTTGTATTCTCTCAATCGTGATACTGAAGTATGCATTAGGTTTCAGGTAACAGGTCTGCTCGATGAACGCACTAGAGTACTCTAAAACATGAAAAAGCGTTTGATAAGCAAAGTGCAATCAAAAATCAAATCAATTCAATATGACTATTGTTTTACAATATTATATTTATATTCATTGATGTTTTGTCGTGTTTAACTTACTTCAGCTAACTGCTTAAATCTGTGGATTTTTAATTGCAAATTAGATTATTTTGCGAGGCTGTACTTTCAAAAAGCGCTAATATCAAGAGAACACTATTTCTTAAATTATAAGGTTGAATATTCCTTATTATTCTTATATAACTTGATCGTAGAGAAGATCACTCCGCATAATATGTAGGCATGTTTAAAATCCGGTAGGAAATGTTTGGGACAAATAACAGCTCCTCTATGAGTGGGTCAAAGCTCAGTTAGTCTAGACTTAACTTAATTTAACTTACCGTAAGAAATCATCAATGATTACTCCATACGTCAAATCACGCCAGAAACGGAAATATTTCGTTTTTGTATTTTCTTTTTCAGCTCTTTGACAATGTGCCACCTAAAATGCCACATCAAAAAAAAAATCATGCAAACAAATATATTTGCGTTCATTTATTTTTAAGCAATACAAAAACGAAAATCTGGCAAGCCTGATTCTCTCACCGCTCTCAATTTCCGTAAGGCCGTATCTTAAGAATCTAAAATCTACAGCTTTTCACATAACAGGTTAGCCAAAATATTAAGTTAAGTTAAGCTACAGAAATTAAGTCTAGACTATCTGAGCTTTTAGTGTGGCTTTGTAATCTCAGGTTATAGGATCTAGCATATTTATTAATTTCTTCCTTGATAGTCGGTCGTTGAATAATGAATTGAGGTGCGTTAACAATCATTCTAAGAGTTTTCGATTAGAATCTTTGTAGTATTTCAATATTTGAGTTTTCTGCGGTACCCCACAGCTGAATACCGTAGGTCCATATCGGTTTTATGACTGTTGGGCGACCGCTGTTAAAAAAAAAAATCTTTTTTCTACATTTTTTTTGCGATGTTGCTTTGATCAGGGCTTGAACCCAGGCTCTGCGGAGTGGAAGTGCGCACTGCTTACCACTAAAAGTTATAACTAATGAGTAGGCCCGAGTAGGATCTTCATGCCTTTACAATTTGGTATTTAGAGGTTCTTAGGTTCGCTCATTAAAGATTTCAAACCAGATTTCGAAAATTCAAAATCCAAATGGCGTCCGAAATTTCCAAAAATTCAAACCTGAATAACTTTTTTTTTAAATGAGAAAACTGAAGTTTTGGAAATGAGAAATTTTGTATAAAATGAAAACATCTAAAAAAAGTGTTGAGGCCTAGATCAAATTGTTAGGGCTGAACATACAGCAAACGACCGCAAATATCCCTAATTTTTAAACACATATAATTACTAGTATTATTTCATAATTTTATCACAAATTTATTTTAGACATGTTCACTGGTATATAATAAATCAAATTTTGCTAAGCAAATATATTGGTACTCAACTGAAAATTACAGTTGATTTGACAGTTGTCAACCGAAAAAATTTGAATGTGATACAGAACTCGAGATCAGTGAGCCTTAAAATGTAGTACGTTTAATTCTTAGGAAATTTTTTTTACTTCTAGAGAAATTGATAGCACCTCCGACGTTGTAAACTCTAAATGTTTTAATTTGGCATTTGTCGAAAACACATTGTCAAGTGGGATCAGAAAGCGGTTTATCGATTGATTTGGATCAGGATAGGTCTTTAGTCGTGTACATGCGCTGCGAAATCGGCTGTCTGTCAGTTTTTGACCCATAATATCATCGGTAAAGGTATGGATAAAGGAGATAAAGTTTTGTCAAAGTATGTCGCCAAATTTTGGCGTCAAAATATGATATAGTGAAAACCAGTCTTTACTGCAGAAGCATCAAGACTGCTCAAATAGCGTGTAATTTGAGCGTTATGCTCGTTGCTTAAAACCTCTTTAAGATCTTGAGTGAGTTTATTAAACCGTTTCTTGTAAATCGCGAGTGTACTGCCACCTTATTCTTGCGAGTCGTTTTTCTTTTATACGGTGTTCACATGAGGCGACTTTGCAGGCAATTTTAGAGGCGATTAGTTGAATCAAAAGTTGGCTGCACCTTAATTTCATTGTACCTAAGCGACTAGTTGAAAGGCCGTTCAAATAAGGCGATTGTTACTTTCAACTAAAAGTTGCCTTTAAAATCGCCCCATGTGAACACTGTATTAGCTTAACATTAACTGCCACCGAGATTGTGGTAAGATTTTTGTTGTGCAGTGATGGGGTCGGGTTCCAATCGGCTTGTTGCAGACAGTTGTTAAAGCGTTCAATTGCTTCAGTTATATCCTCGTTAGTTTTAAGAGCTACTTTCAAGTCAAGAGTAGAAGAAAATATGCTTCGGAAAGTGTTCCAATATGTTTTGTGGTTGCGGTTTGGGGTTCCCAAACTTTTAAGATGATGGAACCCTTACTAAACACCTTTCATTTTATGGAACCCCACTTTAAATTACTACAAATCAAAAGCAGTGCAATTTAAATATGAATCAAACCTTTTACTAGGAGCAGTATACATACTTTAAATTTTAATGTTAAAAATGAAATTGTTTATTAATTATTACTTTATAGTTCGATATAATGTCTGAAAGCTGTATTCGCATTTCTGGGGTAGCATCAAATTTCCATCTGAATTTTTGTTTGTACAAGTGTAAGATTACATTGTGACAAAAGAAAGCAAAGTTAACACTAACCCAAAACTAAACACAGATTCAATTGTGCATTTCATTGTCGAAGTACTCTGAAGATCTATGAATGCTTCGTAAAAGGATTATGTACCAAACCTATATTACTACTACCATCCGAAAAATAGTCTGATAAAGATTTCACGCGATTTACCAAATGCCCAGTTATGAAATATGACATTTCATTTGGCAATTCATCGCGTTCCTTGCAGAAAGTTGTATAAAAGGGGGAAACATGCAATGCTTTTCTTTTCCACACAGGTAATCCAGAAATTAAAATTTCTTTTAAAGGATGATAATATGCCTCTCGCCAAGAAAATGGTTGTTGAGTTTCCATGCAAAACCGTGGCAATTTCCCTGATCTTTCCAAAAAATGTTATAAGCCGGATATAATAATAATAATATTTTTCGCTTACACCTCAATGTTTGGCCGAGCTTCTCCAATTTGTGGTGTTCACCTTGATGTCAATAAAATGGTTTTACGTCGCCTTCGAAATACTCTCGGAGGTTCTCCATTGCCTGCCGAGAGGCGATGCTGTTAAGAAAAAACTTTGGGTTCCGCGGAACCTA